TGATGCTTGTATTCTGTGATGCAAGCGATTTGGGATAATGGCATGTGGCACATGGCATATGGTTGAACCCTTACTACTTAATACACAGTACATATGACACATCGTGACATATCTCGTTATATAAAGATCACAAAATCTAAAAATGTAGTGATAATCCGTAATGTGAATCTCTATCAAATAGTTAATATTTCAATGATGCCAGCTGCCTCTGGTAGTTACATATCAGACAAGGAAATGACATCACATCAGAAAGCGAACAATTCTGAACAACTTCGTCGTCACATGTATCAGTTCCTACAAGATGGATGGAATTGCATTGTGTGGAGGAGTAATATGTCTATTGTCATGCAGTTTGAAAGGCCATAGTCACACAACTAAAAAATGTTCAATTGCCACATATTTGTAGGTGAGGTGAGGTGAAATGGGTTTTAACGCAGCATACTGACTCCGAGCTGACCATTCCTTCTTTTTGCCCCTTAATGCCGAGCGTCAGACAGGGTAACAACAAGTACCATCATTTAACGTATTTTGTTATGACGGGGACGGGGATCGAACCCCGGACCTTCTGCTGTCCGGGCGAACACTCTACCAATAGACCACGGAGGCGGTCGCTACATATTTTGAAAAAAAGGACACCAATATTAATCATATTAATATTGCAAACGACATCAACAGCATTGAAGGATATTAGGAACAAGCACTTTTACAATTTATGATGTCATGTTCTTTTCTTGAGAGATATCAGACATCAGTTTACAATCTACATACATCAATCGAATCCGACAACCATCACCATATTTGAACCTGTACATATGAATAAATGTAATACAAAATCCCTTTCCGACCATATCATGAGCATGTGTTTACGAATCACTATAAAACAGTGATACACCAGGTGTTTGCGAAAAGAGCGTATCCTGCCCCACTGATGGCACTCGTTAGAAACACATGCAAAGGCGAGTCTACACTTCATCTGAAAAACACGGGAACATTTGGTTCAAGTAGGAAATTGCATCGGGCATCTTTTTTGTCACTGATGCGCTAAATTTGAAACTGTCCATGTCTACTATAAAACGTTTTGAAATCTTGACTAACGTCGTGATTGTTGTAATTATGATCAAACAACTTTTTGAGCTAAAGTCGTATGACGCTGTTTGAACTCTTCTTAGAAAATGCATGCTCGAAAAAATGTGAAAGCTGGAGCTGGTTGATAGTGCTCGACATGAAGGGAAAATGCAGTTTTGTAAAGTTGCAGTAATCCCTCTTATACTGCAGTCTTGTTGAGAGTTTTTGGTCACTCTGAATCTTTATGAAGGTTTATAAATATAAATCAGATGGGGCGATTTCACTGGATTCTTTATTTTTTCTAACTCGGCCGGGTAAATCAGTGGAAGGGATTTAGCTATTTGACCATGATTGAACGAATTCAGAACATCGATACACATGAGGCTTTAGTAAAACGTTTTGGCAAATTTCCTTGTTTTGATTTTTCTCTGTCCTATTTCTCATGCAAAGCAGAAGTCAATTAATTGAGCGTATGGACAGATGGGTCTCTTTGTCGAAAACGACGGCCTAAAATTTGGACAGAATTCCTCAGAATCAAATCAAGAGATTGATCCAAAGAATGAGGAGGCGTCTTGAAGCAGCTTTTCGGGTTCAGGGAGGTTGCGCAAGATACTGATGGAAAGTCAATATTTGGACTTGCAGGACATTAGTCTTCAATTCCGTGAAACAGAAGTGTGCATGGTACAGACAGTTAAGTCTGTGTAACAAAAGGGACATTCGTAATTGTTTTGGATGAAATTAAGTCATTTTCCAAATCTGTGACATCTCCAAAAAAACCCACATTATTTCATGGTAATCTTGGCTATGTTCCTCCTCAACCTTTTTATGTACTAGTTCATTAAAGTTGCTAAGTCTGAGAATATACGCGCGCGCTTGTGTGCGTGTGTGCGTGCGTGCGTGCGTGCGTGCGTGCGTGTGTGTGTATGGACAAGAGAGGTTAATGCGTACAATGTTTTCAGCCGATCTGGATACATGGTGTTATGTTCCCGTGTGTGTGTTTGTGCACATGTTCCCCGATGCGCTAGACTCACACACAGGGTACTTCACTGAGTTAGCTAAACCCGTCGCAAACGACGCAAACGAACCGAGTTACTTCCCTTTACCCAATGCATTCGAATAAACATCAGTTCATTGCAGAAAGTCAACTAACAACAAGTTTATAGAGACCAGTGAAATACATGTAGTACCATGGAGAGATTTCTTAAATAAATATCAAAAGGATTGTTTCGCCTTTTTACCTTTTGTAAACATTTTACAAATGGGCAGATTATTCTGTCCATTTATTTGACTAGAATTATCAAAAAGTTCAAAAGGTCTTATAAACAGCACAATGAAGTAATTTAAGAAAGATACGTTTTCTGTTAATCCTCTTATTTTCAGTCACTTGGTAATGAAATTCAACATCAAAAGGTTTGTCATTCGTTATCTTAATAAACTGATGGGAAAACAAAGTATTCCGAGTTTGTTTTTTATGTAACTGAAAATTGAAATAACTGTTGTTAAATTTGATAATGTGCATTGACTGTAACATATTTAAGGAATACGTTCAAAACATTAAACTATCCAACAGACAGAACGCTATTTCTGATACGTGTACTGTAGCATCTGCAAATACAGATAACAGGGAAGGTAGGAATACATTAATGTCAAGGTTTATTTGTCCCACACAGCCTCATGCATGAAACAATTAGAGGAAGTAAACTCAGTATTCGCCCTTGTATCAGCCCAATCGATGATCTTGAGTTTTGCTTCCTTTGTCAGCCTGATAACAAGGCACATTGCATATTTTTTCTATGAATAATCCCCGCAAGTGAGAAATGTGTAGTTGAATGATTGAATTTCAGCTTGGGGTATAAACACTGCATATCCGATATTTGCATATGTGCATTTTAACGTTTCTCGATGTCACAGGGCTTCAAGAATACGTCCATTGTTCATGTCGTCACAAATGGATTACATTACGTCATCTGAACAATAGGCTGCCTTCAGTAAACTTTCGCTGTCGGGTTGACATTTCGTATGTTTTTTCTTCATTGTCTCTTTTGAAATGTCAACGAGTAATGTATAGAATAACCTACTCGAGATTACCTGTCGAACGTGAGTGAATGCCGTTATAAAGGCTCTGGATTAACACTTGCCATTCACTCGAGACAGATGATCCGTAATTCTTCGTAGCTCGTTGGTTACTCTTGACTCAGGGTGAGATTCCCCGGCCCTTAAAGCCTTGCGATAAATGTTGCGACATTTATAAGATATGTAGAGGTACGATCGCTTGTCAGTGTCCCTATCACAGTTGCTATCTTCCCGAGATAAAATCACGATATGATGACGGAAGAATTGTTATACATTTAATACGGTATATACTAGCCTTTATAAACCTGGAACAGTTCAGCGTCAAGAATGACTGAAGCATTCAATAAAGATAACAAGTTTATAACAAGTTGTTCAGATAGTGTTGATGTCTGAGATCTAAGCCAGGTCTCAAACCGCATGTTGGTATAATTAGTGTGCTCATTCTCTTTAATAATAATTAAACCTTGCAATATAAGAATGGATATAGTCTTTAATGATCCATGGCCTTTAAAGGCCTGCTGATTGAAACTTTGCTCAAACGGAAGACCCGGATTCTTTTGCAATAAGCACTCGCTGACTCATTTATAGGCCAGCGACATTTGAAAAAAAGTCTCGTGTTTGTATCAACAGAGGCAGAGAAAGTTGTCAATGGAATATATGTTTTGCACCCCATTCTCGCTCAAAAGTTTGAAAACTAAAGTTTTTAAGTACACAATCAAATCTGAGCCACGCAAGTTCTTTTTTCTTGCTCATTAAATGGTTTTACTTTAATTTTCTCAAGATCGATAAACAAGCAACATCGTAAAATTTGGTAAATACCTGAATGATATATCAAAGGCGAACTCTTTTTAAAATGATATTTTTGCTAAAACTTAATTGCAAATGATTTGAACATAATGTCGAAAAATTAAAGCGATATAAAACATGGTAAATAAAATTATGGGGGATGAATGATGTGAAATCCTATTTTCTTTGTCTGTCTATCTCTATGTTAAACTAGTCTCGAATAGATGATGGTTGGTGATGCAGAGGCGATAAGGCAGCAAGTACGGACATGTAAACGTGTAATCTGTGAACGATATCTTGCGACATAGGGATCACTATAAATACAACGAATATCACCAGTGGGTCGTCAGTTATTTCACGGCGATGGTGGAGGTTAAAGGAATGTATCTCCTTCTTGTTGTAGGAGTGCTAGGACGGTTAAGTCATTCATCGCTGTATCATTATTCAAATGAGTACTTATCAGCAAACCCATATTAAACGTAACTAAGTATACAGTAAACAACGTTTATAGCGAACACGCTTATAACGAACGGACGAAAACAACAGACCGGTCCTTTTTGTCCTGGACATTTACTGTATATACGTTGCATATATGCTTATAACGAACAACGGTTATAACGAACTAAAATTAGCAGTCCCTTTGATTTTGTTATAACCGTAGTTTACTGTATTTAAATGATGTTCTCATGGATGCAGTGAGAATAGAAGATAATTTCTTTTCTTAATTAAGGTTCCTGTCTTTATCGTTTATATACAGTAAACTACGTTTATAACGAGCACGCTTATAACGAACTGACGGATACAACAAACTGGTCCTTTTAGTCCTGGCCATTTGCTGTATATACGCTGCATATTATCGGTTCGTTATAAGCGTAGTTTACTGTATTATCCACTGTTATAGTTGAATCGTTGATCGTTCTGAGAGTACAAATTGAGCATCTTTCAACATTATATACATATGCATGTTTAATAAGGTTACAACGGTTACACGTTTACCATCAGAAATGTAAATATTAGAATAAGGGCAATAAATAAAGGACAGATTGCTTTCATGATAAAGAAATGTTGCAGGTGTCCTTGGCCTACACGACATCAGGTAAGACCTTTAACAAGATTTGCAAACAGTTTGACAAAAGCTTGGTCCCCGCTTACGCGTAATGGTTCTAAAACAAACGACTTTTGTCGCATATGATACCTATTCCCAATACTATGGCAGATATTTTCATCTTTAATGACGTTATAAGCACACTTGTATGCCGTTACAAAACTGTTAAGACATTGCTTGAAAGTAAATGTCCAAATTCAGGTATTAAATATGTAAGCGATAGTATGACCAACGATCAACTCTGTACACGTACGATGAGAACCCGACCACCCAGGTCATGGCTACATGGCCACCCCATCCTGGAGGTGAAACTGAATGTTACAGATATATTATTACCATGATATCTACCCCATCCTGGAGGTGAAACTGAATGTTACAGATATATTATTACCATGATATCTACCCCATCCTGGAGGTGACACTGAATGTAACAATGTATTATTACCATGATATCTACCCCATCCTGGAGGTGAAACTGAATGTTACAGATATATTATTACCATGATATCTATCCAATCTGGAGATGAAACTGAATGTTACAGATATATTATTACCATGATATCTATCCAATCTGGAGATGAAAATGAATGTTACAGATATATCATAACCATGATATCTACCCCATCCTGGAGGTGAAACTGAATGTTACAGATATATTATTACCATGATATCTACCCCATCCTGGAGGTGAAACTGAATGTTACAGATATATTATTACCAAGATATCTACCCCATCCTGGAGGTGAAACTGAATGTTACAGATATATTATTACCATGATATCTACCCCATCCTGGAGGTGAAACTGAATGTTACAGATATATTATAACTATGATATCAACCCAACCCCGGAGGTGAAACTGAATGTTACAGATATATTAATACCATGATATCTACTCCATCCTGGGGGTGAAACTGAATGTAACAGATATATTATTACCATGATATCTACCCCATCCTGGAGGTGAAACTGAATGTTACAGATATATTATAACCATGATATCTACCTCACCCCGGAGGTGAAACTGAATGTTACAGATATATTAATACCATGATATCTACTCCATCCTGGAGGTGAAACTGAATGTAACAGATATATTATTACCATGATATCTACCTCATCCTGGAGGTGAAACTGAATGTTACAGATATATTATTACCATGATATCTACCTCATCCTGGAGATGAAACTGAATGTTACAGATATATTATTACCATGATATCTACCCCATCCTGGAGATAAAACTGAATGTTACAGATATATTATTACCATGATATCTACCTCATCCTGGAGATGAAACTGAATGTTACACATATATTATTACCATGGTATCTACCCCATCCTGGAGATAAAACTGAATGTTACAGATATATTATGACCATGATATCTACCCCATCCTGGAGGTGGCACTGAATATTACAGATATATTATTACCATGATATCTACCCCATCCTGGAGATGAAACTGAATGTTACAGATATATTATTACCATGATATCTACCCCATCCTGGAGGTGAAACTGAATATGATATCTACCCCATCTCGAGATGAAACTGAATGTTACAGATAAATTATTACCATGATATTTACCCCATCTGGAGATGAAACTGAATGTTACAGATATATTATTACCATGATATCTACCCCATCTGGAGGTGAAACTGAATGTTACAGATATATTATAACCATGATAACCATAATCATGGAGGTTAGACGGCTTCTTAATTTGGTATTGCATTAACGAGTAATGTTGAAATGTGTGTTTCCTTCTTTCTTTGTAATGAGTGTACCTATACCAATATTGATAAAACATTGTGACTACTGATCGGTCAAAAGAAAAACTAAACCAATTCGAAACAATTTCAGGAACAACAGAGAACATGCGACACCAGACATCGGCGTATACGGGTAGGTCTTCAGTTGAATGAGAGCAGTTTGTGCGTTATTTTGGAAGAGATAGGATACATTAGAACCTATTAATGAGACAATAGAGCTCGAAATATGTATTCAACATGTCATAGGATATATAATGAACCTATTTCAAGGAAGGTAAAGATTATATTGACCTTTAAGTTCAATACTTTAATGCATCACGATATTTCATATAAAGAGTTTTGTGATAATTACAGTTATATTATGGTGGCTCTATTCCATACCATTTATAATTATGATGGGATCATATTCCCATTCGTTCTATAGATGATGTTGAATACACTCAGGGATGAATGTGGGATTTGATATATCTTTAACATGGGACAGTGATGTATTGAAGGCAATTCTCTATCTTTTCTCTTAAGCATGTGGAGGTCGTTCCAACGATTACAGTGATGAAATCCGATCACCCAACTTCCCTTACAACTACCCAGACAATGCATACTGTGAATACATCATTGATCCGGGCACTGATGTAATATTGAGAGTGGACACCTTGTCACTGCAAACATGCTGTGATCACTTGAAGGTGGAGTTGACCACGTCTGTTTTATTTATCTCCAGCCCTGTTTGGACGAAGTTCGCAATACTACTATCTACAAAGTACAAATCAATGCAACTACTGTAGAATATTTATATTCTAGAACAGAAATAGAGATGACCAGAGTGATATATGTTAGTTTACAATCGTATGTTTGCAACTATTTTCACCTTTCATTTTTTATATCAAATGCCGGTTACCGCGGCATATATCGCTTGTGTGAGATCCAGCGATAGGTCAGAAGACGAGTTTATTTCTTGATATCCGATTGGTCGTTTACATGAAAGATATCGTAAGAACTCTGCTTCAACTTGGCCCAACCTTTTTTCATTTAGCCTGCGTTTTTAATTTGTTCTAAATCAACACAACACTCACACACTTAAGCTGAAGTTCCAACTCTACGTCATTTCCAAGGGGAACCTCATAAAGGAACGTCGCCACTGTCTGTATTTCTCACAACTTTAACTCGTACAATTGTGTACATAATCACGCGCAGACACAATATTTTGGTAATTAATAGTGATTTCACTTTGTTTTTAAAACATGCTGCGACCACTGTTTCACAGCTGTTGTCCACTTATCCAGTCTATGGTTGTCAATATTTGTGTCCGGGCACACATTGGACTTGGACATTCTAATCTGTTCACAAAACTACAACATTACAATTACAACGCCATGTCACAAGACTGAATTCTATCAACACAATGTATTTTCTTCATGCCTTTCTCCAGGTGATGGACCGCTATGGCTATGAGTACCACATGTCGGATACCGAGGACATGATAAATGACTACTTTCGGATACTTTTCACATCTGATAGCAGCGTCTCCGACAAAGGGTTTAGAATTTCCTGGAAGCCAAGTAAGAGGGGCAGTTATAATAAATCACAACTAGTAACTTATGGGGCCATTTGTGATTCTGTCCAGAAGCGTACGGTTCCTAAGTCGTTATGCAGAGTTGCGTCCCTTTCCAGTGATTTGGTCCGCTTATCGTGGGTTCGAGTTTAAGAGTCCGCTGAATTGGACTAATTCGTGTCCCGGCATCTAACATCTGCATCCCCTTTAAACATTGCTTGTCGCGACATTACTTATATACTGCTCAATTCCATTTCAGTCTTGGTAATTCAAATATGTATCATTAGATTATAGAAGTTTCTTTTGATGCAAAAGTAAATCTTGCTCTCCTGAAATGTGGGGATTAAATGATTGTTTACTTAGTTCAATGTAAAGTTTCAGGTTTTTTTAAGTAGCCCTTGGTTATGGTCTGGAAAATGTTATGTTATAGATTACCTTGGAGTGAGTGAGTGAGTGAGTGAGTGAGTGAGTGAGTGAGTGAGTGACACCATAAATTCCCTTCACACATTGTACCAAGGTCGGGAATCGAACCCGGGTCTTCGGCGTTTTCCAAGCACCTGTCACAGTATTGTACTGCATACATTACAAGGACTGATTATAATGCGGATTAAAAACAGCTACGCATTGATTTGTGCTTGACCCATTTCCCTTTATCAACAGGAATAGGAAGTGTGTTTGTTTAAATTTTTATTATAGTTGTTAATGACGTGTTACCGTGAATATCTGATTTACAACTGTTATATGATATTGCAGGTCGGGATGTCACACCGCCTCATTATAACAGTAAGTTAAGACGAATGTACAATGAACCATTTTGACTGACAAACGAAATACGTTCACACTCACCATACATTTCTATTGGCTACCTTATATGTTTACTGAAAAGAGGAGGTAGAGTGTGCATTAGGCTGGATAAAAGCATTACATGTAAACAGTTTTCATTTTTTTTGAACCTTCCTAATTCACGGACCATTTGTATTAGATGGTTCAACGTCACATCAATGACCTTGCTGAATTGCTCTCCAGTATACGTCCATCAGATGTGTACGAACAAACCTAATTACATTTTAGACTGCGGATCAAGTTACAGCACCAGCTCATCCGGCACCATCACATCGCCGAACTACCCCAACATGTACATGAACAACGCTGACTGCGAATACATCATCAGCCCTGGCACCGACATCTATCTCCGAGTAGTTGACAAACGCCTTGAGGCGTGCTGTGACCATCTGAGGGTAAGATATCTCTCATCCTTGACACTTGACCTGATACATTTGATTCTCTGAGACTATGATATTTGTCAACAATTAGAATGTAGTTGTACCAGTATGGGAAAGCGTGAATAACTAAGTAGCTGGTTTTAGGAACAAATGCGCAGCCCATACTGCATGAAGCAACAGCCTTTCGAAAGTTGTCACGTGAGCCACATCCCTTCATAAGCGCGCTCGAAGTGGTCATCACAACAATCCACAGGACACTGTCTCTGGGTGAATGCGGACTTATTCATTTGAAATGATTTCCGTCCATGGCAACATAAATTCACACAAAAATTAGTATTTTTCCACGAGGCCAGTTCCGTTTACATAAATAAAAGACATCAACTCCAGAAAAACCCAGTCCCCTTTATCCGTCGAAATGGATTCCATTGGATTCCAGAAAGGCAAAATAGGGGTGAAAATTAAATGAATGGATCACTGAAAATCAGTAATGATACCAGGTGTCATGCCATACCCGTAGCACCCCTCACACAATTTGCATACAAAATTAGGTGTCGGTTTGTTGCCTGACAATGCACTAACTGGCGTTGCAGTAAATCAAAGTTTCTGGTAAGTTCCAAAGCGTAATACGCTTCTTCCTAAATGTGGTACAAAATGCCACTAGTTCGAGAAGTGACAAAAACATTCACTTTCAGTTCAATGACGCCATTAGTAAGCGAGAGTACATTTAACAGGGTCACGCAATGACAAGATGTGATATTTTGGCGCGAATTCTCGTTCGTTTTTGTTTTGTTTGTTTCAAAAATACATTTAGTATATCAGCACGTATTGGTATATTTGGTAATAATCGTATTCTACTTCGCTTCTTATTGGATAAACAGAACGGATATCAAAGACTGTTTACTAATATGTATAAGTAATAACATTTAGAATATACTTATATTAATTATACGATCATAGACGCAATAATAGAATATATATCTTGTCATCATCATCATAGTTTTGAAATATCATTCGTAAACTTCACATTGTAAATGACTCAACTAAGACTGTATATCCAAGAGCGATGTGATGTTGCAGATATATGATCAACATGGAAACAAACTGACTGAGGATTCAAATGGTGGTTTCTCCGGCAATCACTTCCGGGTGGTTTTCACCTCCGATAGTAGCGGTGTCGACAAAGGATTCCAACTACAATATGAACCAGGTATGTGATTGTTTTTTTGTTTTATTTTACCGTAACTGTTGCGCATATCCTACGTAAGGTTTACCTATTTATTAGAATACGAAGCGTTGCTTGTGTTCAAAGACCCGTGAAAGATCCTTGGTAGCATAGGTCTTCAGCAACCCATGCTTGCCGTAAAAGGCGACTATGCTTGTCGTAAGAATCGACTAACGAGATCGGGTGGTCAGGCTCGGTCTCGCTGACTTGGTTGATGCATGCCATCGGATCCCAATTGCTAGGATCGCTGCTCATGATATCAATCACTCGATTGTCTGGTCCAGGATCAATTATTTACAGACCGCCGTCATATAGATGGAATATTCCTGAATGCTGCGTTAAACAACAAATAAACAAACACAATAAAGCTTGTGTTTATCACCAAGTGTTGAATATACGTGGGGATTGTGTTATGGTGTGCATAACTAAATGATGATTGTATCTCCCAAACACAAGGACGTGGTTTGATATCTGCTTCTAATGTACATGGGATGTGGATTGTTGCACACCATTCATTGTGATGTTTTTCAACGATATAGACCGGCACATGCTTATGTGAAAGTGGTTTGCATTTACTAATTGGAAATTATAAGCAAGACTTTACAACCCAGATTTAACAATTGATCAATGTCTTTATTTTATACTTGTTATAGACCAACATTCACCCTCGACAGCTGTCTATCCTATGACAGGTAAGAAAACAACTCATGTTCATATTTCATAGCTTTAAGCTTTCATTGTTTTCTCTTATTGTCAATTATCGTTTAATGTCTTAAAACCAATCATATATTATTCAAAATAGTTCATTATGAATTACATTTTATTTGTACCATTGTATTGTTTTATTGGAGAATTGTACCGCAAATGAGATAGAATACTTAGGAAATAAAACTCAAATAAGTCTTCAAATAAATATTTCAGTGCCATATGAATGAGAACTATGGTTGCAAATGCAGGTATTCGATTTAATGCACATTTACAATAACCACTTTCGTAGTTCTGTCCCCTTTTACTAACCATTAAACTATTTGTGTTGACATGACGAGATACAAGTAAATCAGTTGCAATATGTCTTCTGGTCGTGACCACCCTGAGATCAATAGTTTTAGTGTGCATTCCTGTCTTCTCTGTACTAATTTGGAACTGTTGGTATAACTCGTTGTTTTGAATACCTTGGTTAACATTAAATGTTATTGAATGGATTTTGTGGATCACAATTTGCCCTCGAGAAAAGGAAGCAAGGAAAACCTTTCCCTTTTGTCATAGATTAAACGTCCATTGTGTTCTTTTGTTTGAAACAATTTCAGGAACAACAGAGAACATGCGACACCAGACATCCGCGTATACGGGTAGGTGTTCAGTTGAATGAGAGCAGTTTGTGCGTTATTTTGGAAGAGATAGGATATATTAGAACCTATTAATGAGACAATAGAGCTCGAAATATGTATTCAACATGTCATAGGATATATAATGAACCTATTTCAAGGAAGGTAAAGATTATATTGACACTTAAGTTCAATGCTTTAATGCATCACGATATTTTATATAAAGAGTGAGTTTTATGATAATTGCAGTTATATTATGGTGACACTATTCCATACCATTTATGATGGGAGCATACTCCCATTCGTTCTATAGATGATGTTGACTGCACTCAGGGATGAATGTGGGATTTGATATATCTTTAACATGGGACAGTGATGTATTTAAGGCAATTCCCTATCTTTTCTCTTAAGCATGTGGAGGTCGTTCCAACGATTACAGTGATGAAATCCGATCACCCAACTTCCCTTACAACTACCCAGACAATGCATACTGTGAATACATCATTGATCCGGGCACTGATGTAATATTGAGAGTGGACACCTTGTCACTGCAAACATGCTGTGATCACTTGAAGGTGGAGTTGACCACGTCTGTTTTATTTATCTCCAGCCCTGTTTGGACGAAGTTCGCAATACTGCTATCTACAAAGTACAAAGCAACTACTGTAGAATATTTATATTCTAGAACAGAAATAGAGATTACCAGAGTGATATTCATATATGTTAGTTTACAATCGTAAACTATTTCACCTTTCATTTTTTTACATGAAATTGCCGGTTACCGCGGCATATATCGCTTGTGTGAGATCCAGCGATAGGTCAGAAGACGAGTTTATTTCTTGATATCCGATTGGTCATTTAGGTCTTGAGGACTCTGCTTCAACTTGGTCCAACCTTTTTTTCATTTAGCCTGCGTTTTTAATTAATTAATTAATTTTTAAATCAACACAACACTCACACACTTAAGCTGAAGTTCCAACTCTACGTCACTTGCAACAGGAACCTCATAAGGAACGTCGCCACTGTCTGTATTTTTCACAACTTTAACTCGTACAATTGTGTACATAATCACGCGCAGACACAATATTTTGGTAATTAGTAGTGATTTCACTTTGTTTTTTTAAACATGCTGCGACCACTGTTTCACAGCTGTTGTCCACTTATCCAGTTCTGTTGGCTATATATAGTCATGATGCGAAAAATCAAACACTTGAACAGGTGTCAATCTGATTTTCATAGAAAGTATTTCAAGAATGGTTCCATGATGTAACACCGAAAAGCCTAACCGCCTAACGTTCGCCTTTTTCTTATTGAGCCATTCATGTAATTTTCACGGCTATTTTGCTTTTTACTCACAGTAGGATCTGTTTCGGGGGATAATCGAGACTGGTTATTCCCTGACGATGAGGTTATATATTTTAAAAGTTGGCATGACATGGATAGGAATCAGTGTTTAGGAAATTGCTTCCAATTCATTCTGCTAGGATACTAGTTGGCAGAAAAGTTTGTTGTCTGTCTACATGGCAATGTAACCTTTGCAACTTATTTGCACAAAAATACTGTGTTGGACTGTCTAAAAACTGTTAAACATTTTAGTAATCAAGCGTAATTATCATATGTCGAATATGGTATCGTTGCTACCATGCAACGTATATATGCCTTTCCCAGTTGGTATGTGAATAGCAAGGTTGCCACAGTTTATGCTTGTCAATATTTGTGTCCGGGCACACATTAGACTTGGACACTCTAATCTGTTCACAAAACTACAACATTACAATTACAACGCCATGTCACAAGACTGAATTCTATCAATACAAATGTGTTCAAGTATTTTCGTCATGCCTTTCTCCAGGTGATGGACCGCTATGGCTATGAGTACCACATGTCGGATACCGAGGACATGATAAATGACTACTTTCGGATACTTTTCACATCTGATAGCAGCGTCTCCGACAAAGGGTTTAGAATTTCCTGGAAGCCAAGTAAGAGGGGCAGTTATAATAAATCATTACTATAGTTACTTATGGGGCCATTTGTGATTCTGTCCAGAAGCGTACGGTTCCACATTCGTTGTGCAGAGTTGCGTCCCTTTCCAGTGATTTGGTCCGCTTATCGTGGGTTCGAGTTTAAGACGCCACTGAATTGGACTAATTCGTGTCCCGGCATCTAACATCTGCATCCCCTTTAAATATTGTTCGTCGTGACATTACTTATATACTGCTCAATTATATTTCAGTCCTGGTAATTCAAATGTGTATCATTAGATCATAGAAGTTTCTTTTGATGCAAAAGTAAATCTTGCTCTCCTGAAATGTGGATATTAATTTTTTGTTTAATTAGTTCTATGTAAATTTTCAGTTTTGTTTGGAAGTAGCCCTTGGTTATGGTCTGGAAAATGTTATGTTATAGATTACCTTGACGTGAGTGAGTGAGTGAGTGAGTGAGTGAGTGAGTGAGTGCGTTTTAAGCAATATTCCAGCCTAATCACGGTGGGGGACACCAGAAATTGGCTTCAGACATTGCACCAATGTCGGGACTCGAACACCTCCCCCACACCACCCCACCCCACCCCACCCCCCAGATTACCTTGGAAATGTAATGATATGAAGTTTGAGTATGAAAAACAAGGTAAACGTAAAGTAATCAGACAACTTCTCCAAGCACCTGTCACAGTATTGTAATCCGTATCCTACATTACAAGGACTGATTATAATGCGGGTGAAAAACAACTACGCATTGATTTATGCTTGATCCATTTCCCTTTATCAACAGGAATAGGAAGTGTGTGTTTGTTTTAATTTCTATAATAGTTGTTAATGACTCGTTACCGCGAATGTCTGATTTACAACTGTTATATGATATTGCAGGTCGGGATGTCACACCGCCTCATTATAACAGTAAGTTGAGACGAATGTACAATGAACCATTTTGACTGACAAACGAAATACGTTCACACTCACCATACATTTCTATTGGCTACCTTATATGTTTACTGAAAAGAGGAGGTAGAGTGTGCATTAGGCTGGATAAAAGCATTACATGTAAACAGTTTTCATTTTTTTTGAACCTTCCTAATTCACGGACCATTTGTATTAGATGGTTCACCGTCACATCAATGACCTTGCTGAATTGCTCTCCAGTATACGCCCATCAGATGTGTACGAACAAACCTAATTACATTTTAGACTGCGGATCAAGTTACAGCACCAGCTCATCCGGCACCATCACATCGCCGAACTACCCCAACATGTACATGAACAACGCTGACTGCGAATACATCATCAGCCCTGGCACCAACATCTATCTCCGGGTAGTTGACAAACGCCTTGAGGCGTGCTGTGACCATCTGAGGGTAAGATATCTCTCATCCTTGACACTTGACCTGATACATATGATTCTCTGAGACTATGATATTTGTCAACAATTAGAATGTAGTTGTACCAGTATGGGAAAGCGTGAATAACTAAGTAGCTGGTTTTAGGAACAAATGCGCAGCCCATACTGCATGAAGCAACAGCCTTTCGAAAGTTGTCACGTGAGCCACATCCCTTCGTAAACGCGCTCGAAGTGGTCATCACAACAATCCACAGGACACTGTCTCTGGGTTAATGCGGACTAATTCAATTGAAATGATTTCCGTCCAGTGCAACATAAATTCACACAAAAATTAGTATTATTCCACGAGGCCAGTTCCGTTCACATAAATAAAAGACATCAACTCCAGAAAAAACCCAGTCCCCATTATCCGTCGAAATGGATTCCATTGGATTCCAGGAAGGCAAAATAGGGGTGAAAATTATATGAATGGATCACTGAAAATTAGTAATGACACCAGGTGTCATGCCATACCCGTAGCACCCCTCACATAATTTGCATACAAAATTAGGTGTCGGTTTGTTGCCTGACAATGCACTAACTGGCGTTGCAGTAAATTAAAGTTTCTGGTAAGTTCCAAAGTGTACTACGCTTCCTTAAATGTGCTACAAAATGCCACTAGTTCGAGAAGTGACAAAAACATTCACTTTTAGTTCAATGACGACATTTTTAAGCGAGAGTACATTTAACTCTGGCAGTGTCTGCTGCCATGCTTCTAAAGTGGATGCCAAGATGTCAGGGTCACGCAATGACAAGATGTGATATTTTGGCGCGAATTCTCGTTCGTTTTTGTTTGTTTGTTTCAAAGGTACATTTAATATATCAGCACGTATTGGTATATTTGGTAATTATCGTATTCTACTTCGCTTCTTATTTGATAAACAGAACGGATATTAAAGATACTGATACTGGTATGCATTAGTAATAACATTTAGAATATACTTATATTAATTATACGATCATAGACGCAATAATAGAATATACCATGTCATCATCATCATAGTTTTGAGATCATATCATTCGTAAACTTCACATTGCAAATGACTCAACTAAGATTTTATATCCAAGAGCGATGTGATGTTGCAGATATATGATCAACATGGAAACAAACTGACTGAGGATTCAAATGGTGGTTTCTCCGGCAATCACTTCCGGGTGGTTTTCACCTCCGATAGCAGCGGTGTCGACAAAGGATTCCAACTACAATATGAACCAGGTATGTGATTGTTGTTGTTTTTTATTTTACCCTAGCTGTTGCGCGTATCCTACGTAAGGTTTACCTATTTATCAGAATACGAAGCGTTGCTTGTGTTAAAAGACCCGTGAAAGATCCTCGGTAGAATAGGTCTTCAGAAACCCATGCTTGCCGTAAAAGGTGACTATGCTTGTCGTAAGAATCGACTAACGAGATCGGGTGGTCAGGCTCGCTCTCGCTGACTTGGTTGATGCATGTCATCGTATCCCAATTGCTAGGATCGATGCTCATGATATCAATCACTGGATTGTCTGGTCCAGGCTCAATTATATACAGATTGTGGAGATTGTGTTTTGGTGTGAGTGAGTGAGTGAGTGCGATTTTACGCCGCTTTTAGCAATATTCCAGCAATATGACGGCGGGGGACACCAGAAATGGGCTTCACACATTGTACCCATGTGGGGAATTGAACCCGAGTCTTCGGCGTGACGATGTTTCGGTGTGTATAACAAAATGATGATTGAATCTCCCAAACACAAGGACGTGGCTTTGATATCTGCTTCTAAAGTACATGGGATGTGGATTGTTGCACACCATTCATTATGGTGTTTTTCAACGATATAGACCGGCACATGCTTTTGTGAAAGTAGTTTGCATTTACTAATTGGAAATTATTACCAATGCTTTAAAACACAGATTTTCACAATTGATCAATGTCTTTATTTTATACTTGCTATAGACCAACATGCACCCTCGACAGCTGTCTATCCTTGGACAGGTAAGAAAAGCATTCATTTACATCTTTCATCGCTTTAAGCTTTCATTGTTTTCTCTTATTGTCAATTATCGTTTAATGTCTTAAACCAATTATATATTATTCAAAATGGTTCATTATGAATTACATTTCATTTGTGCTATTGTAATTGTTATTGAAGCATTTTCACACAAATTAGACAGAATAGATAAGAAATAAAACTCAAATTAGTCTTCAAATAAATATTTTATTCAGTGTCATATGAATGAGAACTATCGTTGCAAATGCAGGTATTCGATTTAATGCACATTTACAACAACCGCTTTCGTAGCTCTGTCCCCTTTCACTCACCATTAAACAGTTTGTGCTGACATGACGAGATACAAGTAAATCAACCACATAAGGCCTTCTGACCGTGACCACCCTGGAATCAATAGTTGGTGTGTGCATCCATGTCTTCACGTATACTAACTGGAAATAGTTGGTATAACACGTTGTTTTGAATACTTTGTTAACATTTAATGAATGGATTTTTTTGCAGATCACAATTTGCCCTCGACAAGAAAAGCAGGTAAGCAAAACCTTTTCCGTTTTCATAAATTTAACATTCATTGTGTACTTTTGTTATGAATTATTGTTGTTTAATGTCTTGTGAACAAACATCTACACATGTGTTCTTCGCGTTTTTGCTTGTGTGCTGTTTTCACAAAATATAGGACATAACGACATTGCCCCCCCCCCCCCCGTCACTTCATGTGTTCAGATCATCGTTCAGAAAATATAACTTGCTTGTTTGTTGCTTAGCGCTGCACAATATTTTAGCTATATGACGTCGGTCTGTAAATAATCTAGCCTGGACCAGACAATCCAGTGATTGACATCATAAGCATCGATCTACTTAATTAGGATACGATGTCGTGCATCAGACATGTCACAAAGCCCGAACATCTCGATCTATTCAGTCGCCACTTACAGCGCATGTCGCCCTGGACGTATATTCTTACACGAAATTCCACTGGTGTTCAGAACAAAAAGAAAACATGCCACGAAGATAATAGGATGCAAAACATGTTATTAATATAGCATGACAGATTAACATTACCAATATGAAAGAATCGGGTGATCCTTAACTTCTTTTGAGTAGTATACATTAACGCTGAATAATCTTGAAACATCTAATTGACATATCTTAAGGCACAGTTGACATCATGTTGTTGAACGACAAATTATCACTTAAGAAAGAACAAAGTTGAGTTATAGCTGTGCATATTCTGTCTGATCACTACAAGTTAGTTTCCCCAAATGACATAGGGGGTGGTCGGGTAGCCTAGTGGTTAAAGCGTTCGCTCGTCGCGCCGAAGATCCGGGTTCGATTCCCGACATGGGTACAATGTGTGAAGCCCATTTCTGGTGTCCCCCGCCGTGATATTGCTGGAATATTGCTAAAAACGGCATAAAACCATACTCACTCACTCACCCAAATGACATAGACATACATAATTGTTGAATTTCGATGATTTTGTTGAGTTCTTGCTGTACACATTGATGTTCAGAGAATGTAATGATGGATTTCATTTTGATTTATGGTTAAGAAATGTATATATTGAAGGTAGTTCTTTTCTCTCAAAGGGTGTGGAGGACTCTACACGGCGCCTAATGGTGTAATCAGATCACCCAACTTCCCTGACAACTACCCAGACAATGCATACTGTGAATACATCATAGATCCGGGCATTGATGTAACATTGAGAGTGGACACCTTGTTTGAAGCATGCTGTGTTCACGTGAAGGTAGAGTCGACCACGTCTGTTTTATTCATCTCCAGCCCTTTCCGGACGAAGTTCGCAATACTACTATCTACAAAGTACAAAGCGATGCAACTACTGTAGAATATTTATATTATAGAACAGAAATAGAGATGACCAGAGTGATTTTGTTAGTTTACAATCGTATGTTTACAACTATTTCCACCTTACAGTTTGTATATCAAATACCGGTTACCGCGGCATATATCGTTTGTGTGAGACCCAGTGATAGGTCAGGCTGTTTCTTTCTTGATGTACGATTGGTCTATTGACATGGACAACAGCGTGACGATTCTGCTCCAACCTGGACCATTTTGTTTTCATTTAGCCTGCTTTTTTAAAATCAATAAATGTACTCACACACTTGAGCTGAAGACCTCACAGTGTAGTCCATGAATGTGACGTCGTAGCGGAGCAAAGTTTCAACTCTACGTCACTTGCAACAGGAACGTCTTAAAGGAACGTCGCCACCGTCTGTATTTCTCACAACTTTAACTCTTACTACTGTGTACATAATCACGCGCAGACACAATAGTTTGGTAATTCGCAGTGATTTCACTTTGTTTTCGTACAGTTTAACGAACCAAATAAACCAAAAAAAGTCGAATAAGATAAGTATTTCTATTACTCAGAACGGTATTTAAGAAATAAACGACGAGGTGGAGTTGTTGATCTTACAATAAAACGCTGCAGGCGCAGCCCCGGGTATTTTATTCTCCCTGCATATTTTTACATTTTGCCATTTGTACAGCCTCATTATGTTCAATATTGTGTCGTGAAATAAACCACGCCTGGTTCGCCTTTCTTCTTTGCGATTAATCGCGTAGCTGTCTTATATTGAAAAAATAATATATCGCACCCTCGTGTTGTTTGAAATCAAATGTATCAAAACTCGCCTACTCGATAACCCTGGGAAATGGCCAAGTGTCGAGTCTTAATGTTTGCCTGTGTTTTGTCTAGGGTGAGACGAAGACATTCCTACTTTTTTCTATTAACAAAAAATAGTTTTGTTTGCTTTACAATCTCAATGGGGAATCACAGGTCTGCATTTTTATAAGCACCATGTTTTCAAGTATTTTCTTCATGCTTTTCTCCAGGTGATGGACCGCTATGGCTATGAGTACAATGTTTCGGATACCGCGAATACGACTAATGACTACTTTCGGATTGTTTTCAAATCTGATCATGGCGGCACAGGCACAGGATATAACATCTTTTTTTTTCCAAGTAAGAGTTGACAGTAGGGGAATACCAACTGTAACTTGAAACAACTTACTGGTTCACAGGGATGAAGGCTTTTGCAAACGTCCCTCATTCACCCATCCATGCCAGGATTGTGATTCAGCATCTTTTACCTGTGTGACCCCTGACCTTACTTCCACGCCGTGATATAACTGAAATGCTGTTTGAAATGACGTTGATCCAACTCACACATGGTTATTGAAATCTATATGTTAAAGTTTATACTACCAGGTGATAAATCACATATTCTTTCATGAATAGGATGTGTTTTCTTTCTTGGTTTCTATTTCTCAGATTAAGAATTTACTAATTACTTCAAACGTTTTACTTACAATTTACACTTGTATTACAGGTAACGACATCAATCCGAAATTATATTACAGTAAGTGAAGGCCATCAATAATGATATACCCATCAATGTACACGTTTAACTGACAACCAAATCCGTTGCACACTTTCTCAACTTTCGAAAAACGCCCCCGTATTAGCGTTGTTGAGCTACACAAATATATTAGTTACATGACCTTAGTATGTTACTGACCCGTGAAGAACCGGGATAGAATAGTTCTCCAGCAACCCATGTTTGCCGTAAAAAGCGTCTAGGCTTGTCGTAAGAGGCGACTAACGGGATTGGGTGGTTAGGCTCGCTGACTTGGTTGATGCATGTCATCGTATCCCAATTGCGTCGGTCGATGCTCATGATGTCAATCACCGGATTGTCTGGTCCAGACTCGATTATGTTCAGACCGCCGTTATATAGCTGGAATATTACTGAGTGCGGCGTTAAACAAGAACAAAATTTCAAAATGTTACTGCTCAGTAGACATCCAGTAGATGAAGGCTAAATGCATTCCAGCATCAACGTACAGCACCAGCCTGTCCGGTATGATTACATCCCCAAACTACCCCAACGACTACGTCAACAACGCTCACTGTACATACATCATCGATACTGGTACCAAAGTCTACCTCAGAATTACTGACCAACAACTCCAGCGGTGCTGTGACCATCTTATGGTATAGTATCTCTCATCCGTCTTGACACTTAACCTTAAACGTATAGCACTATACGTCTATGATTGTGTTAACAATGTGAATGTATTACCATCTGAAGGAACTGTAGATTGTTAGATATTCACATTTTCTGTTCGGGTGTCAGACATTGAGATAGCGACCAAAACAAACCACACATAGATACTGAAAGCACAGAGCGCAATATACATACACGTAAAGATGCACATACTGTCAATACACACGCAGTAGAATACACTTACTTGGTAACACTTGGAAAACGGCAAATAATCTCTAAAACAGTCACATGTACGTATATTTTTTGACAAAAATAATTACAACTGTACAAACATTTTGCAACATTCATGTAGCAGATGGCAGATGGTTCTATGAAAGATGGATGTAAATAGGATTATATACCTTCCCGGCTAGATTTTCAATCGAGTTTTTATCCCTGGGGAATGTCCTGCTCAGAGAAAAGACGGCTTAACTCTGGATAATACGCAGGTAGGAAGGACTCTTTTGTAAGGCTGTCCTAGCAGGGTATTATCCAGAGAACTGAAAGCCTTCTTCTGCCCCTAAATAGAATTACTCACCAGGACAGATTACTACTGAACATGTTGAAAACACGAAATTCATATGAGATCTTTATTCAACTAATGTTACAAAATTGATAAACAAACATATATTTCTGCGACTTTTGTGAGAGTTGAAATTAAAGAGGATTGATACAGGGGGATTTTTAAACCTTTGTCGATAAGTTGGAACCGGCGACCATTGCCGCTACATTGGAACCTTAAACCTTTGTCGATAAGTTGGGAGTGTCAACCGTTGTCGCTAATTTGAAACTTTCAACTTTTGTAACGAGACAAGATGGCGGACAGGTGAAAAGCGGGTGTTTCAGGTCTCTCAATACGGTTTGTGTGAACTGAGTTTATATCTACATTAGGCGTTCAAACTAACTGAATCAGAAATGGGAATATCTGTGGAGCAATTCCGTGCAAGGATTGGATTGTTTGCACCTGTTAATATAACGATTCTGACGAAAATCAGTCGACGTGCTGCTGCGTCCCGTCCTCCGAGAAGGTTAGTAATGGTGGGCCTCGCTACCCGTTCGACTGTACTGAATCTGATACTCATTCTGCTACTACGTGCCGGGGTAGAACAGAATCCTGGGCCACGTACAGGGATCAGAGATGACCAGGGACCTACTACCCGTGGTAATCCTCGCCAGTTACGTTTGACAACAGAGGGTGAGTCTGTAAATCTTGACTCAGTCATGGACGCCTTGAACAAGCTCACACACAAGGTTGACGATATCATGAAATCGAACATTGACTTCGGGTGTAACCTCGATAATATTGACTCAACTCTTGTATCTGTTACTACTCATCTCGCAGAGGTGAAATTAAAATGTGAGAAATTGGAATCGGAAAATGAGAGACTAAGAAAATATATGTATAATCTTGAAGATAAGGTTGATTACCTCGAGAATCAGAGCAGACGATGCAATATTATCTTCCACGGCGTAGACAGGGCGACGGATGGCGAAACATAGGATGACTGTGAGAATGTAGTGCGTGAGATCATTAAGGATAAAATGGAACTGGATGAATCGCATATTGTTATACACAGAGCCCACAGAATCATTAATGGAAAAGCGATCATAGCAAAGATACCGGACGATCATGATAGGAAACGGATATACGAAGCGGCAAAGAAACTTAAGAGTTTCAATATGTGGATTACAGATGATTTTTCAAGATTGGTCAGGGAAAAGCGGAAAAACCTTAAACCTATGTTGACGAAAGCCAGGGAAGAAAATCGTAGAGCGGTTCTGCGCTTTGATAAGCTGATAATTGACGACCAGGTTTTCACGTACGATGTTGACAAGGATAGGGTGATTGAATTAGATCGGCGTCGGGGTTCCCGATCTGCACGTGCGGGTAGTCATCAGAATGTCAACACGGATTCACGTGATACTACATAGGAATGTGGCCGGGCCCACAACAGCGACATTGACAACGATGATCACACTGTATCTGTGAATGATGACGTGAGTGACTGTCAATTTATTATTAAACATTTTGAGTTTATGTCATGGAACATTAATGGTTTAAGGAGGAAGTTGGATAATACTGAACTAATTGATTTTTGTTCACAGTTCAACATTTTTTGTCTTCTTGAAGTTTGGAGAAACTGTGAGAAAGACATGATTGCAACAGTGTTCCCCGGTTATTGTGTTTATGTAAATTACAGAGATTACAATCCGCGAGGCGGTGTGGTTGTATGTGTTCGGTCTGAACTTGAGCGCTATATCAAGTATGTGTGTCTAGATTTCACCGATATTATATTGGTAGTCTTTGAGAAAAGTTTGTTCAGTTCATTGTATGATTACATCTTTGTATTTACATATATACACCCTACTGGCTCCTCTGTGGTAACAGATGTTAGACCACTGCAAGGTATAGAGTATCTCGAGCAAAGCTTTTTATTTATTACTAATCATTTTCCAAATGGTAAGTTTATAGTACTTGGGGATCTTAACGCCAGGTGTGGAAATCAGTCCGATTTTGTTGTGCATGATGGGAATCGGTACATACCGAGCTTTGAGGACATGGACTATGTGTCTGATTCCTTTGACACTCCCAGACGAAGCCGTGATGATGTATGCAATGAATATGGAAAGGAACTCCTAGATTTATGTTCAACTCATAACATTCACATGTTGAATGGGAGATGTGAGGGTGATACAGAGGGTAGCTTTACTTGTTTTAAAGGAGACGGAGCAAGCTTGGTTGATTACTGTTTATGTTCAAGTGACTTATTTACCAGAGATATCGACTTTACTGTACGTACACGGTGTGAGTCTGATCATTTTCCAATCGTTATGTCATTGCAAGTACATACTGACAGTACAACGGAGTACGGGGCAGAAAACGAGGAAAATAATATAGCATCATATACTAAGATATGTTTGGAAGGACGCTGTTATTGAAACGTTTCGGCAGTCTGTCGCTGATATGTTATCACCTTATGTATTAGATAGTGACAGAGACCAGGTTCCACTTAATATCGAGTCTGCGGTAGAAACTTTGGTTGATGTATTTCATATTTGTGCTGAGTCTTGTGGTCTTTTAAAAAAGAAGTAGAGTACTGTTTGCCGGACTAAGGATAGTAAGAATTGGTACGATGATGAGTGTATGAAATTAAAAAGACAAAAGTTTAATAAACTTGATCTATTCAGAATCTCAGGAAGTAAGGAACTTTTGAAGGAATATGTTGTAATTAAGAATAAATATAGAGAAATGTGTAGACAGAAGAGATTGAAGCATGATGAACATTGTATAAATGATCTGGTCAATAATAGTAAAAGTGGTAAATCCTTCTGGAGACGCATCAACAATATTATTTCTTCACCTTCTGTGACAGGGAACCCAGGTATTACCAATATGCAGTGGACCGAATATTTCCAGCATGTGTTTAATTTAACTGATATACTTGTGGATGAGGACAATCTAGATGAGGCAGAAACTTTTATGAACAATCATGATATTAATGAGTGCAATTACTGTAATGATGATGTTATGAATAATGTCCTTAATGCTGATATAACTGAAGAAGAAGTATCATCAGCTATACATAACTTGAAACTGGGTAAATCGGCTGGACCGGATGGAATTCTACCGGAAATGGTGAAATGTTGTAGTACTTCAATCATATCATACTTAACTATAGTTTTTAATAGGATTATGCAAAGTGGTGTATTCCCTTACGAGTGGGCAAAGGGTATAGTAGTTCCCCTGCATAAGAAAGATAATATAAATGATGTCAATAATTATAGAGGAATAACGCTGATGGATGTATTTGGAAAGTTGATGACAACAGTATTAAATAATAGACTCAAGACCTTTGCCGACGTTTATGATACAATCCCTGAAGCTCAGGCAGGATTCCGAAGCGGATACAGTACAATTGATAATATATTTACATTACAATGTTTAGCACAAAAATATCTCTCTAAACGTCGGGGTAGATTTTATTGTTTGTTTGTTGATTTCCGTAAAGCATTCGATTCGATTAACCGAAATCTCTTGTGGTATTCATTAATGAAAAATGGAATACATGGTCGTTTACTGGTGGTTTTGAAGGATCTATACTCTAAGATTCAGTGTGCTGTCAGGACATCAAATAACTCTCTTTTAGATTATTTCGAATCACTGAGTGGTGTAAGACAGGGCTGCGTGTTGAGTCCTTTTCTGTTCACGATGTTTATCCATGAATTACAGTCAATGATAGAAAGTAGTGATATGCGAGGGATTTTTATTGGAGAGGAGTTTATGGACATATTACTTTTACTATATGCAGATGATTTGTGTATTTTTGATGACACAGTAATAGGTCTGCAAAGAAAAATTGATATTTTATCAAATTTTTGTAAAAAGTGGGGACTTGAAATTAACATGTCTAAAACCAGAATTTTGGTTTTCAGAAGAGGTGGTACTTTAAGGTATGATGAACGATGGTTTTTGAATGATAAACGTATAAATGTAAGTACTTACTATAGTTATCTGGGTGTTCTGTTTTCAAATAGATTGTCTTGGACTAAATGCATTGATACTCTCAAGATAAAAGCCAATAAGGCTTTGTTTGCCATTAAACAATTGCAATTTCACTTTGTAAATATGCCAGTTAACATTTTATTTAAAATGTTTGATATTAAGATAAAGCCCATTCTTCTTTATGGTGCTGAGATCTGGGGCTGCAAAGGTAGTCAAATTGTCGAAACTTTTCATACTAAGTTTTGTAAATTTGTTTTAGGAGTTGGTAAATATGTATCAAGTACGGCAATATTAGTTGAATGTGGAAGAAGCGGTTTGCATGTGGATTATCATATGAAGTGTGTTAAATACTGGTGTAAACTGATTAGAATGAATGATGAAAGATATCCCCGACAGTGTTATTTGTTAATGAAGAAGCTGGATGAATGTGGTAGAATTACTTGGGCAACTCATGTTAAATATTTACTCGACATATATGGATTTGGTAATGTGTGGTACGAACAGAATATTGGTGATGTTAAGTGTTTCTTGCAGCTATTTAGACAACGTTTGTTGGATTGCAACAAACAGAGTATACAGATGAAAATTTATGAGTCTCGTAAATTAAGGTATTATTCACACGTCAAGATATTATTGGATATGGAATATTATGTTACAGCTTTCAGAAATAGAGACCATAGACGTATGATGTGCCTGTTGCGATTAAGTGAATTGCCTATATGGAGTAATCTGGGTAGAAGAGAGGATATTGATTCTTCACAACGCTTTTGTCGGCTATGTAACAATGGTTGTATTGAGGACGAAGTCCATTTTGTGTTTGTCTGCCCGTTTTACGCAACAATAAGACAAAAGTATATTCCTGTAAGATTCTATAACAATCCATGTATTAAGACTTTTAGTAATCTCTTAAATAGCAAAAATGACTGTATACTCAGAAATGTAGCTAAGTATGTGAAGGAAGCCCTATTAGTACGTACCAAGTCCTAATATTATACCCTTAAGATTGTTTGCAATGTAAATTGTCTCAATTGTATATTAATATATATAACTGAAATGTACATGGGCCTATGGCCTCCCATACATGAATAAACACACGTTGTGAAATAGAATTACTCACCAGGACAGATTACTACTGAACATGTTGAAAACACGAAATTCATATGAGATCTTTATTCAACTAATGTTACAAAATTGATAAACAAACATATATTTCTGCGACTTTTGTGAGAGTTGAAATTAAAGAGGATTGATACAGGGGGATTTTTAAACCTTTGTCGATAAGTTGGAACCGGCGACCATTGCCGCTACATTGGAACCTTAAACCTTTGTCGATAAGTTGGGAGTGTCAACCGTTGTCGCTAATTTGAAACTTTCAACTTTTGTCGATAAGTTGGAACCAGCAATCTTTGTCACTACATTGGAACTTTCAACCTTTGTCGATAAGTCCACCTTTGCGGGAGTTTGCGAAAAACGTCACAATGGCCATTTGGTCGTCACTTGTTCTCTCGTACACACAGACCGCATCACTCTGTGGCCAGTATGTTTACGCACTGTCTGCTCGTCGATGTGCGCCTGGTAGAGGCGTGTTGACGCCATTTCCCGAAGAGACTGATTTGTCTTTTTTCAAGAGATACCAGCTGCTGCACAAATCGGCTTTTCGGTATCCTGAAGGGTGTTGTGACCTTTTTGAAGCATCTTTCGAGTTATCGTCACACATTTGCGGGTTGCAAAATAAAAACTAGTTGAAAGTAACAGATTGTCAATGAAACTATGCAAAAAAATAAATATTCTAAAATGTCATTATATCGACAACTTAAGTAATTTATCCCGACCTGGGAACACGTATGCCTTCCCTAAATGCACTTCTCCATTTGTTAGGTTCAATAGTACTGAAATCGATTAGGCGGTAAACAATGAGCGTGGAGCTATTTCATACTTTGAATTTGAAAGAATACTTACCTGAGAGATTTGTACTTCTGGTACATGCGGACGTAGTATGTTTTCGTTGGCACGAACATTCTTCGGTACGGCCTTTCCAGGATTAGTCTTCAGCGAGTCTTCCAGGAATCTAAGTACCGTCGCCCACTACCGTCAATATGAGGTCCCGTTATCTCCGGGTCCTTGAACATCCTCAGAACACGGTGTTCTCTATCCCCAAATAAAGCGAAGTTCAGTCCTGAATTATGCAAACAGCTGATTTGGGGAATATTCTTAATTTATGCATACTTAGATTTCTTTAAGCAGCTGACCTCACCCTCATAACACTGTCTAAACATTTTCTTATTTCATTGAGATGTAGGCCATCAAACAAACTGAACTTCGAATCTACAGCCTCAAAGCAGTTGAAAATAAAGCAAATATGACATAAATGGAAGGCGAAGGATACAGACTTCCATCCTGTTTCCTTACCTCGTAAAGAAAATAATTTAAAGATGTCAGATGTCATTTGTAGCAAATTCTTCTTCAAACAAGCTGCCGGTAGATGGTGGTTTTAAGATATGGAACGTTGACTGCGTTCTTCTTGCCATCGTTTAAATATTGAAAGCACCCATTCACTTTTGTACTTTAAGGCATACTTTCCCCGATTTTGGCCTCTAAAATCTCCTCCGAGAATGCGAAAGTGAATATTGTCATTGCAGAGTTTTGACTGAGTCAAAAATAGCTCTTCACAGTCAGACACGGTTCGCTAGCGCGTGATGCACGTGCAAAATTTTCTTCCGCTAACCAATCTTCGCTAACGGGCCGATGATGGCCGAATACAGCCGAACAAGACATTGCACCTGAACATCTCGGGGAGACACAGCTTCGGTTTAAAATCTACATCAGAAAATGTGGTCGATAAAAAGTTGGATAAAGCTACATATGGAAGGCCAAGCTCCGCGCACTTTCCCTCCGGCGAGGACCTTTCATCCATACAAAACCCGAGGAAAGAGGCTTAATATTTCACTTATTATATAAGAATGAGGTGATATTGCAGATATATGATCAACATGGACACAAACTGACTGAAGATTCAAATGGCGGCTTCTCCGGCAATCACTTCCGGGTATTGTTCACATCTGACAGTAGCGGTGTCGACAAAGGATTCAAAATTCAGTATGGACCAGGTATGTGTTCATGTTTTCTTTATCACACTATTGCAACTGTCGCAAGTATCCATTACTATATATTTGAATACAACGATGCGTGGATTGCGTGAATCACCAAGTGTTGATACAGTTTGTATCCCCGAACACTTGGTAAATATGATACAAACTGTACCATGCTATAATATATGTGTATAAAAATTTGCCGCAGTTTGTAATTGTAACTGATAATTTCTCCTAAACACAAGGACGCGTCTGGAGTAAGGTGATGTCGAAACCTATGATTGTGCGTTCGAATCCCGGTTCGCCCCGATTATGTTTCTAGGTTTGTCAGCACCATACCCGTGCTCGTGGGTAAAGTGGTAAACGTCTGAGACCTGCATCACTTCGGGCTTTCCTCCCACATTAAGCTAACATGCCGCGATATGACTGGAATACTGTTAAAAGCGGCGTTAAACCCAACTCACTCACTCACTCATAGATGCGATATAAACCGACACATGTATCCGTGGAAACTTCCCAACGGTAAAAACTGGGTATAACTCTTTATAACCATGTTTTCAATTTGACCAGTGTCTCTATTTAAACATGTTACAGACCAGCATTTACTCTCGACAGCTGCCTATACCACAACAGTAATGAAAATACATCGGGTTTTTTATAGCTTTAAGTTTTCATTATTTGCTTATATTTTCCAAAAGCAATTAATATCGTAACAACATATGTTTTTCCAAGTGTCCCTAATACTTTCTCAGGGGCGGTCGGGTAGCCTAGTGGTTAAAGCGTTCGCTCGTCACGCCGAAGACCCGGGTTCGATTCCCGACATGGGTACAATGTGTGAAGCCCATTTCTGGTGTCCCCCGCCGTGATATTGCTGGAATATTGCTAAAAGCGGCGTAAAACCATACTCACTCACTAATACTTTCTCAGGAATTACATTTCATTTGTGTTTTTGTATTTTAAGATTTTGACAGAAAATAGTTTAAATAAACCTCAAGTGTAACCTCTCGTAGTAGCCAAGTCGACTCCAACTGCACTGTTGGCCAGGCGTGACCTCTTTACGTCTGGTTCCTCTATACCACTACAGTGGGGCATATCCTAAGACAATTATTTATCAGAATGAGAAGTGTTGCCAGCGTGTATTAATAAGTCTCCATAATATGTGGATGGTGTTAAGTTTATGTATACATGTTTGTTGTAACTCCTTCTGTTAATGTGAGTAATCCCCAAACGCAAGGATGTAACTTTAATATTTGCTTCTAATTTAAATGTAATATCGAATCTAGCCACAATGAACTCTTATTATGTTGCACCGCTACTTATATGGACCAGATATGTGCTCATGATGTTGTTTTTATCACTTTTCCTCCTATCATTAACTGAGTCACTTATTTCTTAGAATGAGAGGGTTATTTACTTATCCTCCAAAAACCAACTATTTCAATATTTAGGCTTGACGCTCTCATCTAAACTATCATGGTCAGTTGTGTGAAAACAATTAGCATCTTAAGCATCAAAAGCAATTATACCTATCTTTATATTCTTTTAAGCAAAATGTACATGTATCCTTTTCTACAGCTTGTGCTATATTTAACGGCAAAATTGCACTAATCTTGTTATATGGAGCTGAAATAAGGGGCGCAAAATATGAAACAGGACTCTATCCCATTCATGTATTAAGTCAACTCTGAATGACAAAATATTGGTTAAATTTACTGACGATGGGGCCGGAAAGATATCCTTACTAATGTTATAAACTACTGAAAGCTCTTGATGATAATGGTAAAACGAACTGGATGTCCAATGTCAGATATTTGTTATTCATGTGGTTATTCCTTTGTGTGGATTTCCCAAGATGTAGGGAATACAAATTTGTTCTTATACTCTTTTAGACAAAGGTTACAGGGCATGTATAGTCAAAACTGGCATGAGAGTATATCTTCTTCACGTTTCCTCAGCCTTTACAAGGATATCAAGTCTTCTATAGAACAGAGAAGTTATATGATAATTATCGCTTGCTGGGGCATTATATAAATTCAGATTGTCATTACAAAATTTCAAAGTAACTTTTAGATGTAGATGTGAAAAAAGGGACGTTGATATAGGTATCTGTAAAACTGCCAATCAGAAGAGATTGAGGATGAATGTTATGTTTTTGTTAGTATGTGATAAGTATGAACATCTTAGAGAAAAATATATTCCGATGTTTAACAATAGGCATAAAAACAAGATGTTAATGATCAATCCTACAACTTTACTGTTATACGTTCATTAGCCATATTGTTGAAACATATATTCTCTGTCAGATAGGTTTTATATATCATGTATATCACGTGACTAAACAAATGAAACTGAAAATGTCAACTGTACAATGGGCCATGTGGCTTTAAATACCGATTAAAATATCTATCTCTCTATCTATCTAAAAACCAAATATGTGACTTTGATATGCTTCTTATGTAGCATCATATCTAATCTAACACAGTGAGATTTGTGTTCCCCACTGTTCAACACTGTCTTGTATATATCCGATACTGAAATAGAAATTACTTGCTTTAATATCTGGCAAACATTTCATCAATGTCTATATTTTCAACATTTCATAGGTCACCATTCGCTCTCAACAACTACCTCTCCTACAACAGGTACGAAATATTGTTTTCATATTTCATATCATCTAAATTTCATTTATTATTGATTATTGTTGTTCTAAGAACTAAATTAATATGTATCCATGATATTTGTGCACGTCGGTATGTATAACGTTAAAATTCGTTATATAAAGAGTGTGAATTAGTTTTTAATAACTGATAATGTGGAGAGTGCAGTGTCAAAAGGGTAAACATTTTATTAATGTCTATATTTTCAACATTTCATAGGTCACCATTCACTCTTGACAACCTCTCCTACAACAGGTACGAAACACCGTCTTCATATTTCTTAGCATTTAACTTTCGTTGTGTTCTTTTATTGTTAATTATTGTTGTTCTAAGAAATTCATAATGTTTGTGCACGGCGGTATGTTTAAAGTTTCAATTCTTTATATAAAGAGTGTGAAGTAGTTTCAATACCTGATAATGCGTATAGTGCAGTGCCAAAGTGCTGCCAGTTTCCAGATTGGGTGATCTCCAAGGTTTGTTGGTTAGCTGATGAACGCCGTCGGCTGATCAGTCCATGAAAATGATTACTTAGATGCAGGACGGAGGACAATATAAGGTGAACATGCAGCACGGATATGGTGCTGATAAACCTTGAAACATAATTGGGGTGAACCAGGATTCGAACCCACGATCATAGGTTCCTGGCGTTCCTAAGGGACCCAACTCTGCACATCGAATTACGGTGCCTGAGATGACTGAGGCATCCGTACCGTCTTCATGGTTTGAAGAAACTCCTATTGGGAATGTTAAAAAATGAGAGACATTCAGGCTGCTGCAGAAGCGGGATCACGAAAGGCCTGAAAATCCCTGTGCCACCGAGCGTTATATTTGTCTGCAGGATGACAAGTGTTGTATTAATCTCACTACAAATTCCACCCTGACCTCATCATACAACTACCGCGTCATGGCTGAAAGTCTTAAAGCTGATCACTATTCCACCGATGGTCAATGATGACCGTCATCACGACCAAGCTTGAATCTGCTATCGTCGAAATTTGCCACCTCCCACTAGTGAACGCCTACCTGTGCTGGTCTGCACCAGCCTGTCGCTAAGATGTCGCAACGCCAACGCCTCCCCACCACGACGACGTAGAACTCTGATACGAGCAGCATGTAACTTCGGTACTCCGACTGTTGTTGCAGATCATGTAAAATTCAGGAAACCACTGACCATGTGGCGAGTGTTGGCCACGTAGTGATGACACATGCACATCCAAATGGTGTATGGACAAGAGGGCCACCGTATTATACCCCATGCCTTTTTACCAGTAATAATACTGATTTGTGTTAATCGATTTCATACCATCTCATTCATTTTATGCAAAACGCGAAACAATTTCCAAAACTTTCACTTTCCATGCAAGTTTGAAACTTATTCATCATCACAAAGGTGGGCTTTATTTGGACGATAACTTTTGCGAAGGATATATTCAACTTATAACTTTCAGATTTCCACCCTATATTTATCATGTCTTTGTATGCACGAGTGTGCCTGCTTCTACTTGTCCAGATCGGTGTTTTCTTCATAGTAAAAGCGCAGCTAAACATTTAACACCAATTCCTATATATGTGTATCAGTAGCACAATTCACTTAGTAATGTTACATGTGCCAAATGGAGACATGATAACAAGCATTGAGCATTTATGTCTATTTTTCATACATATGGTTGATATTTCCATCAGAATATAGATGTTGAAACAAACTTCAGTTTATACACATACATTTTCAGAAAAACAACATAGCACGTCCAGGGAGTGGAACGATACCACAACTCCAGGGCCTTCAACGTGTGGTCAGACGAGCTACAGCACCACTGGCGTTATCGAATCCCCCAACTACCCCTCCAGCTACTTCAACAACCTCCACTGTGTCTACCACATCCTCACGCCAACCTACAGTGAACTTAGAATTGACGCTATTCATTTACAAGAGGGTCATGACTACATTAGGGTACATGGAAACAAATCAATATTACGGTCTTTCAAAAAAGAGTTGTTTTTTCTCCCTGAGTGAGTTAGGTTGTTTTAACGCCATTTTGAACGGTATATCCGTTATATCCGTTATGTCAACATGAGAAAAGAGATGCACGTCATCGTCACATAAGTTTACCACGTGAAAACAACGAGGACGTGCATGGAATTGACAAAACAAGAAACCGTAAAAAATCATTGGTAAAAACAACACCCTTCTATAACGTCATATTCAGAACGTCTTTACAGAATTAGATCACATGACATTGTTTACCCTGATTAACCGGCCAGTATGTATTCATATTGCATTTTGTGCACCCTGGTGTTTTACAACCTAAAGAGACACGTGAAGATCCGGGGTACAATAGGTCTTCAGCAACCCATGCTTGCCGTAAAAGTTGACTATGCTTGTCGTAAGAGGCGACTAACGGGACTCGCTGACTTGGTTAATGCATGTTATCGTATCCCAATTGTGTGGATCGATGCTCATGATGTCAATCGCTGGATTATCTGGTCCAGACTCGATTATGTTTAGACCCCCGTCATATAGCTGGAGTACTGCTGAGTGCGGCGTTAAACAACAAATAACCAGCCAACTAAAAGGTATCATTTATTCCAGTCATTGTTACAAAGTGTTATGGACAAGGCTGACAATTACTTAATACGTTTCAGGTGTCTTACGAAGATTTATATGGGAACCATCAAAACAGGACATTCACTGGTAGCAGGCGTGGTACAATGGTCGGCAAATACTTTGATATCACCTTCACCACTGATGCAAGCAATACTGACCGAGGATTCCATCTGTCCTGGAATTATGGTACCATAGTATAATCGTACCCATCACAAGAACATATTTTATTTAGTTCAGAGGATTTCATAGCACTATCAATTCATAATAACTATTAGAACTCATCTAATTCAAAACGCCATCGACTGATAAATCTCGAAAAGAAAACTTCATCAATTCATGCGTATTTTTGGAACTGGAATCAAATCATTTTTGATTATCATTATCCTCCAAGCTGAAATTTGGTTATGATTCTTAATAATCTTGAACAGGAACGATTATGCATGTGTTGTAAATATTGTATTTTCAGATTTCCAGGTTGAAGAACGAACCAGTGAGAAAGACTCCAGCACAAAAGGAACTGTCCCAGCATCGCTTATGACGATTGCTGCAGTTGTCATGGTGATTGCTGCTGTTGTCATGGTGATAGCTGTGGTCTTGGTGATAAGAGTACAACGCCGTAACAAATCCCTCCTAACTGGCGCTGATACTGATTTCCATTCGCTCTGACCATACCTCTCCTGATATCGTTATTTGAACTCAACATTGCTGATAGAAAATAGATTTATAGAAAATGTTGTTTCAAAGACGATCATATTCGTGTCCATACAGGTTCTTTTTTTGGTCATATACACCTCAAAAATAAAAGATGTTTCGAATAGAAAGCATACAAACACTGGTTCATTTGCGATAACATGTTTTAACATGTATTTCATGTTTATAACTCTCGTATTCCGAATTCATAAAACCGTCTTTTTAACCACTTTGTTTGGTAGTCTGTTTGTTTCATAGCTAACAGCACCCTTGGAAATTAATTACAGTGTATGAATGCCGCTGTTCCAAGTCCAGTCTGTCCCCACAGGGAACTAAGGCCGTGTTTATACTGAACATCTGGGACCTCACACCAGGATTCTTCTGATGTAGCTCAAAGGTGTAAAGGTATGAGACCTGCGTCACTTCGGGCTTTCCACCCATAGTAAGCTGACACACCGTAATATAACAGAAATACTGTTCAAAGCGGCGTTAAACCCTACTCATTCACTCACTCTGATGCAGCATTGTCGTCACATGGGCTCCCAGTTTCTGTAAGCGCTTTGAAAGGTCACAACCTCTTCCATAAGCTGCTACATAACCACACTTACAACCCGATAGTAATCATATTAATCATGCAATCAATGGCAATAAGAAACATATATTATTTTACAAATTAGAACCATCACACGTGATGACGTCATTTCCCCTCTTGATCTGGCGAGATCTTCAAATTATACTTCCAGCACACAACATTTGAATTCACACAATTGATTCTTAAAACCATCAACGTATCGTTATTTGAATCTCAACATACAACGTTAAGGGATTTGAACAGGTTTGCTATTGGGCATGGACCATTATATATCAGTATATATGGAGGACAACTCTATCGTGGAAGAAATTTAGTCCTGTTACAACAAATTAGATATGGACGAAAATAAAATGGTCCCCTAACATTAATAAGATGGATTCATGTCAATTTTCAACAGCAGTTCTTTCTTATTGCTCAATACAACAGACGAATTAGCAATAGATCACAATGGCTATTCCCATTCCACATGAAGGAAGGTGAATGCATGAATAGACAGGATACAACGCACACATCTAGACATTACCATGGCCTCCTTAACGAACGAGATGGATATTAGCGTTGGGCAATAACTTGCTGTCATTATCCTCAAAGTTTAAATCGAATTCCGTCGATCTGCTGGTCTTGGGTTCGATTCCTATTTTCGCCTCACTTATGAACCTTGACCTGTTAGTACCTTACCAATGTTCGTTGTTTCACTTTGGGCTTCCTCCAACGTTGAGTTTGGTCCCCCACCACCTGGTGTCATCATTGATTTTTAGTGTCCATTCATATAATTTCCACAGCTATTTGCCCTTTAAGTGGAATCTGTTTCGTCAGAAAATCAAGGATGGTTATTCTCTTGCATTGACAATTTATATTTACATGCCACGAGATAGAATTGTGTCCAAAACGCCTGATAAAATAATTACCAATTAACGAACGTTAATTTAACGCTTACTCACTACAGATAACATCGCGGACAAGCCATAATACGTATGGGTTCTAAGGGGTATTGGTGCATTGGTCGCTGTTTATCTATGTATGATATTGCCTGACGCAATGATGTTTCCATGGGCGAAACCAATACAGATATGAATACAACAGGGCCAGCAATTGCATATAACTTTTTGGTGGTGATATATGATACAATTTGTAACATATTGTACATGTACATTCGTATCTGCGTAATTTATAATGTTCATACTAAACTAAGCGGCAAAAGAAAGTATAGGTTGGCAATTTGTAATTTTCCTAAAAACAGCGATAACTAGTAGAAAGTGGGTATTGGGAATATGACTGCCCAGGAACGTGTACCAAAAAACACCTCACCCAAACGCGCCACCAAAAAAATGGTGAAACAGGTTTCCCGCCTGTGGCATATACTGCACGTGCATGTTAGCTGCATAAATGCGTTCGTCTGCAGGGTATAGCCACACGTGATGAAAGCAGACAAAAGAAATGCCACGACTGTCACAGGAGCAGAGAGCGAGCCATCGGTATGGCCGAAATGGGGGCAACACAGGTCCAAGTGCTTCCGTTCTTACAAAACCAACAGCAGGGGACATTGTTTCAACACGACACTACCAGGCCCCATACTGCAAGATTGACTCGGAACTTTCTTAACCAGCAGAACGTTGACGTTTTGCCCTGGCCTGCCCACTCACCCGATATGAATCCTATTGAACATATGTGGGACCATCTTGACAGACAGTTTAGAGGACGCCATCAGCCTCCCGTCAACAGACAAGAATTACAGCAGGCCCTAACAGACGAGTGGCAACTGATTCCAGTCCACGTCATCAGAAGACTGTCGTCATCGATGAGTCGGCGTATCACAGCATGCATTGAGGCAACTGGAGGTCATACACGCTATTGAAGGCAACTGTGTCGACAATGAACTTGTAGTGTGTCTGACAATTTTTTGGTGACATTTCAGACAACTTTTGAAAATGAAATTTCTTACCCCACCATTGTTTACCTTGAGCTTACATTACCTGTGACTGCACAATTGCATTCAAACTCTGGTTGATCAATCATTTGTTACCCCTCCCTAGATTATATTATAATTCACAACAAAACCTCATCTTGTTATTTTTTTATCGATCATGGAACTCGACCTTTTCTTTCTTTTGCCGCCCAGTTTATTTTGACAACTTCACGTGTTTGGGCAGTAGGCCATAAATTATGATGGTCGACGTAGAAGAATTCTCTGCAGTCACGTCTCGCTGTGAGGATGTTGCCTCGATGTGTCGACCAACGTACTTGCATAAATACTAGGACTAGGACGGGTAACTCGGATACTGGGGTCGAGTGGGTCCTGAGTAGGACCCGGGTACCCACAGGACTACCCGGACCCGTGGTTAGTCACGTAATATATTGTTAAATGAAAAAAGAAATCCTAAACTCTATGGTTACACTACAAGTCACTAGATATCTACAGCTGGTTTCCCGGTAGGGTCGGGTAATAGCGTGGTGGTACCCGGGTAGTAAATTTGGACTCGTCCTAGCCCTAATAGATACGGAAGACTAAACGGAAGGAGCAACATGTATTCATATGCAAAAGGGGAAATGACTGAATCATTTGCAGAGTGATGTCCCTTTGTCGAGTCATGATCCGGATACCGTTGGAGAATACGGAAATTGAGATCGTAAACATTTTTTTTGTATTATATTCATTAGAAAAAAGAAATTTCAAGTCAACAATAAAATGTTTATCAGAGTGTGCATCTTAAGCCATGGTCAGTCTTCTCGAAAAATCTAGAAATTATAAAATTCTTTGGACTGTTTACTTAAGGCTCTTAGTGTTGTGATATTACCAATATTATTATATGGCTTCTATATGTGGGTTTACGTAAATATGAACATATTTGAAAATATCCCCATGTTGTCTTAGAAATGGATCCCCAAATGTAATGGTTTATGAAGAACTAAGTTGAATTCCCTTATCGATTTTTGCAGCTAAACGGGTTACTTTCTGCCATAAACCTTTGTAAACGCAGGCCTGGACCGAATTTATCTATAACTTTGTTCTTTTGAAATGTTTATCTAAATTTAACTAACAAAAGTTTTGGATAAGAAATGTCTGGCAAATACTTAATTACTGTGGTCTATCCTATGCTTTTTATTACCCCTCAAGCCAGAGGGGGACTTCTCAGGTAGAAAAGACTTCAAGAGATCCGTTTGATCAACATTGGAGGTATGACGTCGAGAGAAGTTCGAGTGGGCATTATCATAAATATTTAGGGGCGGTCGGGTAGCCTAGTGGTTAAAGCGTTGGCTCGTCACGCCGAAGACCGGGTTCGATTCCCGACATTGGTACTATGTGTGAATCCCATTTCTGGTGTCCCCCGCCCTGATATTGCTGGAATATTGCTAAAAGCGGCGAAAAACCAAACTCACTCACTCATAAATATTTAAAAGTTATCCCGTCATTTGAAAGCTTCCTTCTCCTATCTAAACAAATGTATTAGTACGGTTGGACTATAAGATAAAATAGAGAATGAATAGAGCCATTAGGCTTCGTACCTTACCTCATTTCTTTCTTATATTTGCAATATTATAGAGCAAATCTTCCATTAACTTAAACTAAAGATAGAATTATCAAAAGAAATTATGTTTCTAAGCAATGGCTCAACATAGCAAAATCCTTGGTCGACGCTATAAATCTGTAAAATTACGTTACAGATACCATATGCCCTTAACATTGTTAAAATTTTCATTTTTGCGTAAAAGGTAAAACGAAGCGAAGAATTCTCCCAACAATCGAGGATTGTGGTTATCATTTTTATTTAATTAAAAACATGTATAACTGTATGCTTATTCATCAAATGTGCACTAGTAACACTGTAACAATCGAAATTCATTTGATTCTAACATCATGAATATGTACTTTCGTCCGTAGATCTCCAGTTTGCCGAAGAAGCAAATGTAAAAAAAGCAAAACACGACAGTGATTTACCTGCAGCTGTTATGGCAGTGTCTGCAGTTGTCATGGCGATCGCTGTCCTCGTTATGGTACTCCGACTACGGGGGCAAAGACATAAGGAGATGCATGCCTCTCCGCCTGCAGGTGATGACGGTATTTGGCGACAATCCTCGACCGATAGAGATGCGCTGTTAGCACACTTGTACATGTAACCATATTGCTAGACTTCAGCGCCTTACTTTTCATCAGAGGAACGCTTGTTAGGGAGGTTAACTGATAAGTATAACACAAAAAGACCTGACCTAAAGACCTTAAAATGATGTATTTTTCAACATAAGACCCTTCCACATTGATACCCTTTTGCCAACGATGTTGAACTTCTTCTTTCGGGTGTGGGCGGTCGGGTAGCCTAGTGGTTTAAGCGTTCGCTAGTCACGCCGAAGACCCCGACATTGGTACAATGTGTGAAGCAAATTTCTGGTATCCCCTGCCCTGATATTGCTGGAACATTGCTAAAAGCGGCGTAAAACCATACTCACTCACTCACTTCCTTTCTTCGTCTGTCCAGAATGTTTTCCACAGCTGCTATGACGTCCTCGTTGTAATTACAATTACAATTAGGAGCGACGTTTCGATATAGATTCCAACACCGTTATGATTCTAACACTTACTTGATAGCGGTGTTAGAACCTAAATCAAAACGTCGCTCCTAATTGTAATAAATTGTTCATCC